AGATAGATAGATAGATAGATAGATAGATAGATAGATAGATAGATAGATATGGACGGACGGACAGACAGACAAAATTCTGAAGCTTTAACCATCTTTCTGGTTCTCAAAACAGCGAAAGGACCTCTGTATATATTTATATTTTTCTTTGTTGTTGGACTTGCCCGCCTCACAAATCCACCACCTCCCTTTCGGTCTTCGCTTTCTATCTGCCTCTTCCTGCTTGTCAATAAACAGGGGGTCGTATGCATGATTTCTCCCAGGGCTTGGCCGGTAGGAGAGTTCGCTCCTTTGGATTCGGATTGATTTTCTATCGATCGCAAATGTCCCCTGACCTTTGACATCCAATCTTGCTTGGCACGGAGTTCAGCTTGGTTAAACAAAGGAAATCGGAATCAGGTTGCATAGCTAATGAATGAGGAGGGGGGGGGAAGGAAGAGAGAGAAAGATGAGTTCACCCCCCCCCCCCCCCACCCCCCCCCCCCCCCCCAACCCCTAAGATTCCCACAGAATTGGATCTTGGCATCTGCCAGTTAATAGAATATCAGAGTTGGAAGGGACCTTGGAGGTCGTCTAGTCCGACCTCCCGCTCGAACAGGAGACCCTACCCCATTTGAGACAAGTGGCTGTCCAGTCTCTTCTTAAAAGCCTCCAGTGATGGAGCCCCCACAACTTCTGGTGGCAAGCCCTTCCACTGGTTAAATGTTCTCACTGTCAGTAGATTTCTCCTTCGTTCTAAGTTGCTTCTCTCCTTGATTAATTTCCATCTATTGCTTCCTGTCCTGCCTTCGGGTACTTTGGGGGATGGCTTGACCCCCACTTCCTTGGGGCAGCCCCTCCAATATTGGAGGATGACTATCATGTCTCCCAAGCCCACGGCTTCCTCACCTTGCTGCCAGCCTTCCCCGTTTGTTTGAGCTTGAGGATGGGATACCAGGCCTGTACCCTCCTTTGGCTAACGCGCACCGTCTGAGGACGATGCCCCGTGAAGGAATCCTGCGACACACAATTTGTAAATTCACTAGCACTTTCTCGTCGTCCAACCGTTCTATAATGGATCCAATTCTTTCGGCGCTCTCTTTCCTGCGCCACGCACAAATATTTCAAGCCTTTCTGCGGCCCTGCAGATTCATCTTTAGTTAAACGTTCAGTGCAGCTTTATAAGGCCTTGGCAAGACCACACCTGGGATGTTGCACCCAGTTTTGGTGGCCACAATATAAAAAAGATGTGGAGACTCTGGAAAGAGTGCAGAGAAGAGCCACAAAGAGGATTAGAGGACTGGAGGCTAAAACATATGAAGAACAGTAGCAGGAACTGGGTATGTCTACTCTAATGAAAAGAAGGACTAGGGGAGATATGAGAGCAGTCTTCCAGTATTTGAGGGGCTCCCACAAAGACGAAGAGTTCAAACTATTTTCCAAAGCACCAGAAGGGAAGACAAGAAACAATGGATGGAAACTAATCAAGGAGAGAAGCAACCTAGAACTAAGGAGAAATTTCAGTTAGAAGAATTAACCAGCGCAAGGATTTGTCTCCAGAAGTTGTAGATGCTCCGCCACTGGGTGTTTGCGAAAAGAGATTGGACAACCATTTGTCTGAAATGGCGTAAGGTCTCCTGCTTGAGGAGTGGGCTGGACTAGAAGACCTCTAATGTCCCTTCAAACTCTGTTATTCTGTAACCATATAAGGCAGTAGGTAATGAGAAAAAAAATAGAGGCCATCACTATCATGCAGGATAGGGATTAGAGGGGGGAGGAGGAAGAGAAGAAGAAGAAGAAGAAGAAGAAGAAGAAGAAGAAGAAGAAGAAG